CACACTTTGAATGACAATTGCGCTGTCATGCAACACTGTACCCATATGAATTTTTTTGAATTTTTTTGAGACAGATAAAGCTTTATTTTAATGGTATTTATTCACCGCTGGGATTTTTGTTTTGTTTACTATGTAAATTAAAATGTCCAAAAAATGTGAAATAAAGTGTTTTTCTTATACAATTTCATAAATCTTGGGCAAAATTTATTCCGTTATCTTTTTAGTAAAAAATAAATTACCCAAATTAGTTTATAACCAAAAATTATGATTTTTAAACTTTTTTTTTTTACATTTTTATTTTATTTTTTTATATTATTTATTTATTTTACATACTGTCACCCTAGCAGTATAGTGTCACCATACTGACACTGTACTACTTGTGGGGGGTGACGAAGATTCTTTTTTCACACTTATTGCTTTTACACCATAAAGGCTGTAAAAGCAATAATTTCTCCTTCTCTGGCTGCATTCTTGCATCCATTGAGAACTACTGTGTGAGCTGTGATTGGTCACAGCTTGTCACATGGTACAAGGCTGTTGTGAATAGTCTTGTAGGATGTGACCTCTGTGATCATTCACAGATTTCACAGGTAGTAAGCAATGATGTCAGAAGTGACATCTTGCTTACTATTCTGCATGTGATCACTGATTGGCCAATCAGTGATCACATGATCGGGACCTCACACAGAGGTCCCGTCCGACTATCGGTGTTCCACTGTGTCCGGAGAACACAGCGGGCACTGGGTCGCGGTGCTGCGCACTCCCAGGGAGCGTGCACAAGCAGGGGGCGGGGAGGACATTTATAAACAGCCACCCGCCCCTGCACTGCCGAACGTTTATATACAATGGCCGGACGGGAGGTGGTTAAGTTGCAAACTTACAAACTTATGAAATGAAAAGACACCACCTCTACCACCACTACAAGAAAAAGAAAAGAAAAGGCAGGAATAAGCCACTCAACAACCACTTCTATCGTATTATTGTTATCAGGGGCAGACTGACAATTTGGAAACTCGGGCACTGCCCGAGGGCCTGGGGTCAGCAGGGGGGCCCCATGAGATGCACGGTACATGGTACCTTTTTCATAGACTTTTTTGAGTGTGGGCGAGGACACAGGGGCCCCATGATCCCCTATTGCCCGGGGGCCCCATGAGTTGTCAGTCCGCCCCTGATTGTTATTATTATTATTCAGGACTTACTGTACTGTGCAAACGTTTTAAGCAGGTGCGAAGGAATGCTGTAAAGTAAGAATGCTTTCAAAAATATATATTTTAACAGGTTTTTTTATCAATTTCCAAAATGCAAAGTGAGCAAACAAAGAAAAATCAAAATCAAATCAAAATTCGGTGTGTGACTGCCCTTTGGCTTCAAAGCAGCATCAGTTCTTACCAGGGGCTGACTGACAACTCATGGGGCCCCTGGGCAATAGGGGATCATAGGACCCCTGTGTCCTTGCCCACACTCAAAGCACACCCAAAAAAAGCCTATGAAAAAGGTACCAGGGGCATTTCATGGGGCCCCCTACTGACCCCGTGCCCTCGGGCAGGGCCTGAATGCTCAAATGGCCAGTCCACCCCTGGTTCTTACCCTTGCACAAAGTCAGGGATTTTGTAGAAATAGAGTCAGGTGTATGATTAACCAATTATACCAAGAAGGTGCTAATGTCCATCAATTTCAAAGGGAGGTTGAAATTAACTGAAACAGAAACTGCTGTGTAAGAGGCTTAAAACTGGGTGAGGAACAGCCAAACCCTGCTACTAAGGTGAGGTTGTGGAAGACAGTTTCATGTCACAGGTCATGGCAAGACGTCTACAAGACATGAGTTAGCTGTACTGCATCAGCAAGGCCTCTCCCAGGCAAAGATGTCAAAGCATACTGGGTTTTTAAGATGTGCTTTTCAAGCTCCTTTGAAGGAGCATAAAGAAAACGGCCAACATTGAGGACCGTAGTCACAGTGGTCGGCCCAAAGAAACTTAATGCAGCAGATGAAAGACACATCATGCTCACTACCCTTTCACACCAGAAGATGTCCAACAGTGCCATCAGCACAGAACTGGTGGAATCCAGTAAGACCCAGGTACACCCATCCACTGTCCGGAGAAGTCTGGCTGGAAATGGTCTTCATGAAAGAATTGCAGCCAAAAGACCAGACCTCCAACGTGGAGACAAGGCTAAGGGACTCAACTAGGCATGGGAACATAGAACCAGGGTTCAGAAAAATGGCAGCAGGTGCTCTGGACTCTAGAGTCACAATGTGAAATATTTGGCTGTAGCAGAAGGCAGTTTTTTGGCGAAGGGCTGGAGAGCGGCGCAATAATGAGTGTCTGCAGGCAACTGTGAAGCATGGTGGAGGCTCCTTGCAGGTTTGGGCCTGCATTTCTGGAAATGGAGTTGGAAATTTGGTTAGGATCAAAGGTGTCCTCAATGCTGAGAAATACAAGCAGATAGTTATCCATCATCCCATACCATCAGGGAGGCGTGTGATTGGCCCCAAATGTGTTCTGCAGCAACAACCACCCCAAACATTAAAAACTATCTGCCGTGTAAAAAAGAACAACTAGTCCTGGAAGCGATGGTTTGGTCAACACAGAGCCTTGATCTCTCAACAGTCTGTCTGGGATTATATGAAGGATCTGAGGCAGCCTACATCCTCAGAAGATCTGTGGTTGGTTTTCCAAGATGTATGGAACAACCAGAGGCTGACTGACAACTCATGGGCCCCCGAGCAATAGGGGATCATGGGGCCCCTGTGTCCTTGCCCAAACTCAAAAAAGCCTATGAAAAAGGTACCAGGGGCATCTCATGGGGCCCCCTACTGACCACGGGCCCTCGGGCAGTGCCCGAGTTTCCAAATGGTCAGTCCGCCCCTGGGAACAACCTACCTGCCGAGTTCCTTCAAAAACTGTGCGCTAGTCTACCCAGAAGAAATTATGCTGATTTGAGGGCAAAGGGTGGTCACACCAAATATTGATTTTCATCTTTCTTCTGTTCACTGACTTTCCATTTTGTTTATCGATAAAAAAATAAACTATTATCACTTCTATTTCTGAAAACATTCTTAATTTACAGCATTTTTTCACACCTGCCCAAAACATTTGCACAGTAGTGTCTATAGCACCAACAATGTGCGTAGTGCTTTACAATATAAAGGCAGGCAGTACAGTTATAATACAGGTCAATACAGAGGGCATAGGAGGGCCCGGCTCATGGAGCTTCCAATCTAAAGGGAGGGGGAAGTGGTACAAAAGGTAATAGCTGCGGGGGACGATCTGGTGGAGGTGACTCAGTTGGGCATTATTAACTGCCCGAGGGCCCGAAGTCAGTAGGGGGCCCTAGAGATGCCCCTGGTACCTTTCATAGGCTTTTTGGGTGTGGTTTGAGTGTGGGTGAGGACAAAGGGGCCCCATGAGTTGTCAGTCTGCCCCTGATTATTAACCACCAAAAAGATGGCTACAGCGTGGTTCTCTAGTTGTGGGAGGGCTTCCATGGAGTTCCTCCCAGAACATCTGGCACGCTCTGTGACCACTGTGTCCTTTGGACACAGCTGATCACAGATTGAGGTAAAGGGCCAATCACAGCTGTCTTTTACCATGTTATAAGCTGTGTCCAATCACAACTGATCACGTGTAAACAAACTTGCTGGTTAGTGGCATTTCCTTTCCTCATACGCTGTGTCTGTGTGATGAATGGACAGCCGAAAACTGGCAAGGCTGACGTGGGACATTTACACTGATAACCAGGAGTATACTTCCCGGCCGCCCGGCCACCCGTTGTTTTATGGTTTGTTTTGGTGGTGGTTGTGCCAGTTGGTGCTGGGGGACGTCTGGCAGAGTGAAAGGTCCTCATTGGTTACTGTGGGCACAAGAAAAGCACTTTGTAGGAACCCATCTGAGGTACGGCTTCCAGTTGTTCTGGTGGGGGTGTGTGAGATGGGGAAACAGCTCTCATTGTTTGAACACTGTTCGTGTGGAAGTAAATTAATGTTTTAACTGACATTCTGCGGTTTAGCCACAAGATGTCACTGTTTTTCTAACACAGTGTCAGACTGCATAGATATTTGTATATTCATGAAGAGGTGGGGTTTTGCCCTCAGAGTTGAAGTTTAGTGAACAGGAAGAGGAGACTGCAGCCATGTTTTGGACGATGCTGAATGAAGGGGCCGTGTGAGCTGATGAGATTGCTGACAGGAATTCTGATGAGGTTGCTGCCAGGAAGCTGATGAGAGCAGAGGAACTAAGCAACATATACGACAAGACCGCATGCTTGTTGGAGAGACATTTGTTCTGTTCAGAGTCACCAGCGGATACAAAGCAGACCCGGGTCGGTAAGATCGTGCACGCACCTCATTTCAGTGTTGGCGCCCAGAGACTGAGTCCAGGCCTATAGTTAGTTAGTTAGGGTCTCTGTGTCAGGCCACAAGTGTTGTTACTGATTATTGGAAGGACTCCACAACTTATAGTGACATCTCACATTGGAGAGCTGATAAAATCCTACAAACTCAAGCCAGACTGGTGTTTTGCTCAGAAGGAATACTCAGGCACATGCTATAGGATCAGTTATGGGAAAGGGAATACTGTAGATTTGTGTAAGATTGTAAGCTGTTGTGCTGCACCGCAGGCTAGCCCATACCGTACACCCATACACTGATTCCTGCTCTGTAGGGTAATAACAGGTAAAGTGTGGCAGCTTAGCTGTGCCCGCCAGTAGGTAAATTACTACACTTTTTACCTTCATCCATCAGAATGCGCCATGCTGTGCAGCACAAGGGTCTCAGCCTTTGGGCTGGGTGGATGTAAATTTATTGTATGTTTCCAGCATTTGTGGTTGTGTTTATTTGCCACATCTAAGTAAAATTCTGTTGTGGAAAAAGCTGGTGTTGGGGTTGCTTTCCTCGTTCGTGACTTCACTGTATCCTGGGGGGCCCACCCCAGAACACGGCTTACAGGGGTATCTGCAGTGGTGTCTCCAAGTCGGTGGTGTTGCGGGCTGGAGGCCTAGTTAACCACTTGCCATCCGGCCGCTGTATATAAATGGCCGGACGGTGGCAGTCCAGGGGCAGGTTGCCGTTCATAAACGGTGCCCGCCATTTTGAACTGTGCGAGCTCCTGGGAACATGCAGCACTACGATCCGGTGCCCGCAGTGGAACACCAATCGTCGTTCGGGACCTCTGTGCAAGGTCCCGATCATGTGATCACTGATTGGCAAATCAGTGATCACATGCAGAGTAGTAAGCAAGATGTCACTTCTGACATCATTGCTTACTACGTGTGAAATCTGTGAATGATCACAGAGGTCACATGGTACAAGGCTATTCACAAAAGCCTTGTACCATGTGACAAGCTGTAACCAATCACAGATCACACAGTATTTCTCAATGGCTGCAAGAATGCAGCCAGAGAGAAGGAGAAATAATTGCTTTTACAGCCTTTATGGGTGTAAAAGCAATCAGTGTAAAAAAATAAATCTTCATCACCCCCCACAAGTAGTACAGTGTTACTATGGTGACACTATACTACTAGGGTGACAGTATGTAAAATAAAACGCATTTTAAAAAAAATCATAATATAAAAAAATAAAATAAAAATGTAAAATAATGTTTTTTAAAAATTATAATTTTTGGATATAAACTAATTTGGGTTATTATTTTTTTTACTAAAAAGATAACTGAATACATTTTGGCCAATATTTATGAATAAATATTATTTATTTGCAAGATTTTATAAGAAAAAACACTTTTTTTCAAAATTGTTGGACTTTTTCATTTGTATAGCAAAAAAATTAAAATCCCAGTGGTGAATAAATACCACCAAAATAAAGTTTTATCTGTCTAAAAAAATGCTAAAAAATTCTTATGGGTACAGTGTTGCATGACCGCGCAATTGTCATTCAAAGTGTGACAGCGCTGAAAGCTGAAAGTTGGCCTGGACAGGAAGGGGGTAAATGTGTTCGGACTTGAAGTGGATAATGGTTGTAATAAAAGGCCGTTTTGGGCCATTAACTCCATTTTTCTTGTCTGTGTGGTTACTTAGGTTTAAGGAGGGGGGTAGGTATTGGTTGAGTGGGACTGGATCAAGCCATCTTTGGTCCCTGGTCATGGCTATTTTCCATCCAAGCAATGATGTATCCAACGTGATGGCCCCCGTCCCTTGTACTTCAGAGTATGAAGGGGCATGCCCATCACTGGTCAGGCAGAGCAGTAAGGCTGAAACAAAGGGAGGTCACACATGGATAAAATGTACCCTTTCTGGACTAGATTTTATAATGATGATGATATTATTATTATTATTATTAACCTCTCGTGCCGACGCCTCCCCCGGCCCTTTAAGGTTTTCAGAAGCCAGTGTAAGGAAATATGTCTTATTAACTGGCCATCCATTTTTGTATACATGCCTCCATTTCTAGATGTTGTGAACAGTTTAGTTTTTGTTTTTGGAACTTCTCTCTCGTTTCCTTGGACTAGTTTATTTCTGTAAACGAAACTACCTTATATGGTATCCCTCAACTATTTGCAGTTTCTGTTTCTTCACGTAACTATATTGATAAGAATGGAATGTTTCATTGGTCATCCTGAGATTAAGCCACGCCTACTGAGTTCTGTATAACCGTTCTTGTTATGGCCATTAAACTTTCAGAGATTTAGCTTGCACACTTCGGTGTTGGAGCTTTATGTCTACCAGGCAGGCCTGAAGGTTGATAATAACGAGGACAAGGGGCTAACAGAACATAGGGTTTGAATCCTATGCAAATCTGGGGTGTCCAGAAGCGGGATTAAAGGCTATGGACGGGTCAGGTAAGCTGAGCCAGTTCTTTAAATTTTACCTAGGATTGTCCCCCTTTTAATAGACGCCAGGTTACAGTAGCCAAAGTTTCAGTTTATGAGATTGTAGGATCTCACAGGAGTCCCCTTTGGGAGGTGGGTCCCTCAAAGGAAATTCAGAGGTTTTGTAAACCACGTGGAGGAAAAATTTTTGCATTAGGCAATGTATAATTGTGAGAATTCTCACAGTAGAGACCTCCGCTTTCCGGCAGGACATAATAATAAACATTGGAACGCTTCAAACGTATTAAGTCGTGTCATCCTTATGCGCCAGTGGGGCAATTGCTAAACTTCTTCTCTGTATTGTTCCAATTGCAGGCCGGTGCGGGGTTATTAGGGTCATGTGAACCGCGTTGATTCGCCATCACATGAACGTGAAAAAGGTCCCGATTGAAAGAGGAGATCGGTTACCATTCCTGGAGTCGTGGAGCATATGTGCTGGAAAGCGTGCAGGGCGAGCGTATCACAGCACATATGGTAATATCTAATTGCACGCAAATAAGGGCACTTAGTTATCTGGATGAGACAAGTAACACACTATAGAGGGGATGTGCTTTGTTCATATTCATGTCTGAGGTTTACCAACCACTTTAAATAATTATACGCTAGATACAGTAGTCCTCCTCTATACCCCAATTATCAAATATAAAATG